TACGTGCCGTCATCATTTCCGTCATTGCATATCTGCCCGGCAAAATTAAATTTTATTTCGTAGCAGATACGGTAAATATTGACCTTACACTGAAACACTTTGTGATACACATTCCCTTGACGCTCTCAGCAATTTAACAACAGATTTTTACACGTCAAGAGCTTTTCCTTCCGGGGAACCGCTTCAATTCAACATGAAAAGGGTGGGGGGATTACTTCAGTTTTCGGTTAAAATGGGTACCGAAGTGCGGCTGGAATGTGACCCACCCCCTTTCATATATATGCTTAGCCTGACTCAGCTAGTATAACCATGTGATTGTATCGCAATCTCGGCAAATTATAAAGAATAACAACTTGTGTGTGAAGATTGTAGATCATAATTCCACCAGAAGGGAAACAGGAGTTTTTACAGAGTGTGTATTGTTTGGTAAACTGTAAGAAATAAAAATACAATAATTTACAATATGCACGAAAGAAATATATGAACGTTCAAGGCAATATTAATATCAAGTCAAAAACGAAAGTAGAATTCTCAGTTCAATTCATAGAAATAAACAATTACAATTCATATTTGTTGAATAAACGTGTTTGTCAAGTTAACGGAGTTAACGGAATATATATTTAACAGTTTATAATCGATTTGAAACGTACTTGACGGTGATTTGTCACAATATCCACAGGAGCAGTTTTGTCGTGGCATCCATTTGTAATAGACAGGCGAGGAAGAGAAAGTAAACGGTAGTGAACATACGGATAAGTCCAGATCACTTCCGGAAAATATGAATGTCTGAAAATTCAATCCAATAGATGCCGTAGCAAATACAATTGATAACGTGAATCAGAATACTCCCCGTCTGAAATCTATCTGATATCACTATTCCATAAAATATAACACATGTGAATGTCCTATCTAAATCAAATATATATATATATACACATAATTACATAGAGTTGTTCTCTACGAGAAGAATCATGTCCACGATAGGACGTGTGTAGGTTGTGGCTTTTCCATTAACGATTACTCGCACTTCTGCTTTTCGGACATGTTCGTCTGAACTTTTAAATGAATTCACTATAATTCCAACGGGCCATTGGGTACGGCAAAGGTTTTTATCCTTTAGAAGAATGACGTCTCCTTCGATGAGATCACGGCGATCTTCGGTCCATTTTCGTCGTTGTTGTAGTAACGGCAGGTACTCTTTCCTCCAACGGGTCCACAAAACACTGGCCAGAGCCTGTACTCGCCTCCATTCGGCAAGACAGAGATCTCGTTTGTCGAATTCTCCAAGATGATCTGAAGTGAAAATGTAGTCGGTTTTCTGTGTCAATAACATAGCCGGAGTTAATATTAATGGATTCCCTGGATCTGTTGATACCGGTACCAGAGGTCTAGAGTTCACTATTGCTGAAACTTCTGCCATTAGTGTGTTGAGCACATCATGTGTTAGGCTTCTTCCGGCTGCGTTTAGAAGCATAGAATCAAGAATTCTCCTGGTAATACCAATCATCCTCTCCCAGGCTCCACCCATGTGGGACGAATGCGGCGGGTTGAAGATCCAAGTTGTACCAGAATTATACAGAAAGTTCTTGAAGGGTCCATCTTCAACGTTGATTGAGTCAATCTTTAAATCTTCGATTGCGCCAATAAAGTTCGTTCCACGGTCAGATCGGAAAATCTTAACTTGGCCTCTTATAGCGGCGAATCTCCTGACGGCGTTTATGAAGGCGGAAGAACTCATTTCCTCGATTAATTCGATGTTAATAGCTCTTGTCACTAAGCATGTAAATAAAATTGCCCAACGTTTAGAGTTGGCGTATCCACCACGTGTTTTACGTGAAACAATTGTCCAGGGTCCAAAGGTGTCTATTCCAACGTTAGTAAACGGAGGTGACGGTTCAAGACGGTCCTCTGGCAAATCAGACATGATTTGATACTCGGTTTTTCCTCTGAGTTTGCGGCATGTTACACATTTGTGAATAATAGAAGAGATCAAGCGTTTTGCTTCAACGATCCAAAATCCTGCGGATCGAATCGCTCCATCTGTGAAATGGCGACCTTGATGTTTTACCTTGTCGTGGTAGTGTCGAACTAATAATGTCGCTATATGATGGCGTCCAGGGACGATTAATGGTTTCTTTTCACGGAAGTTTAAGTCAGATTTGACAATACGGCCTCCTATTCGTAATAGTCCTCTTTCGTCCAAAAACGGATTGAGGCTAGATATTGGGCTCCGCTTATTAATTTGTTCCTGACGTTTTATACAATCTATTTCATCTCCATAAACTTCATGTTGTGCAGATATTAAGATGAAATTTTCGGCATTCGAAAAACTATCCAAAGAAGTCACTGATGATGCCTGTTTTGACCCGTGTAAACGGGAGAAACGTTCCAAAAAGGCTATCGCTCGCACAAGTAAAGTCCAGTTGGAGAATCGGTTGAATCTTTCAGTTCCTATACCTTTATGCTCAGGTGTGGCAAATGTTTTTGCAACATTCACAGTTGCACGGATTTCTCCATCTTCTTCTGGATCTATTAGCTGATATATGTCCTCAGAATTCTTCTGTTCTGAGGAAAGAAGTTGTTTTGGTCCCAATACCCATTCACTGCTATGAATTTCATGGGCTGGTACGGACCTTGTTCCCGAGTCTGTTGGATTACGGTTAGTTGGTACATGATTCCATTGACTCCTAGAGCTAAATTTCCTTATTTTCTCTACTCTATAGGCGACGTAGATAAAGAACCTTCTTGTCTCGTTACTGATGTAACCTAAAACCACTTTACTGTCTGTGTAGAATTTAACGGTGTCTATATGTAAATCTAAATTATCCATGACGGTTTGGGTGATCTCAACTGCTAATACAGCAGCTGACAGTTCAAGTCGTGAAATAGTATGACCACTTGTTGGTGCAACTTTAGCTTTCCCAAGAATGAAACCTATGTTTGGTTCACCACTACTGTCGGTCGTGCGTAGATATGCAACAGCTGCTATGGCTTTTTCTGATGCATCAGAGAAGACATGTAACTCCTTTGTGGCGGTTTTGCTGAGATACGGCACGTAGGTACGTGGAATGCGCAATGTTTCGATAGCAATTAGAGTATCTCTCCAAGATTTCCACTCAGCTGCTGTCCCATCAGAGAGAGGTTGGTCCCAATCGACGGTTTCTGATACTTTTTTCCTTAATAGGAGTTTCCCTTGTATAATCACCGGAGCCAAAAATCCCAGAGGATCGTAGATACTGTTTATCTTTGATAAAATTCCTCTCCGAGTGATAGGTTTGTTTTCTGATGATAATTGAAATAAGAAGTTGTCAGTGTTTACGTCCCAGCTAAGCCCAAGACTACGTTGTAGGGGTTTGCTGTCGGATTCTAAGTCTAGATCCTTCAGATTTGAAGCCAAATCACTGGCATGAAACGCAGACATAACTTCCTCACAATTAGAGGCGAACTTGTGAAGCCGTAAGTTTCCATTCTTTGCCAATGCTTGCTGTGTGTCCTTCATGAGCTTAACAGCTTCCTCTTTTGTAGGACATGATGTAAGACCGTCGTCGACATAGAAGTCGATTGTAACAAAGCTAGTCACGTGACTGCCGAACTCTTGTTCTGATGCCTGAGCTGCTTTTCTGAGTCCAAGCGTAGCAACGGCAGGTGACGGACTATTTCCAAAAAACATGAACTCTCATGCGGAATTCGACAAGGTTCTCTTGTAGGTCGTTGTTTTTATGCCATAAAAATCTCAGATAATTTCGGTGGTCTTTTCTTACTACAAAGCAGTGAAACATGTGTTGAACGTCTGCAGTTACTGCGACCATTTCTTTCCTGAAACGAAGCAGTACTCCCAAGAGATCATTGGTCAAGTCTGGACCTGTTAGAAGGACGCTGTTGAGTGAAACTCCGTTACATTTGGCGGATGAATCAAACACACCCCTAATCTGATCGGGTTTCTTCGGGTGATAAACACCAAACAATGGTAAATACCAGCACTCTTCATGTTCTCCAACGGTGGAGCGAGCTCTGCATGATTATTGTCTAGGATCTTACTCATAAATGTGAGGAAGTGTTCCCGCTTTACTAGGTTTCTATTCAGGCTTGCGTCTAACATATTAGCACGATGAAGAGCTTGTGGTCTGTTGCTAGGCAAAAACTGTCTTGGCACTCGGAACGGTAACGGTGCTACCCAACTTCCTTCCGAGTCTCTGACAAATTCGTTGTCCATCTGTTTCATGAACATTTTGTCTTCAAATTAAATCATCGTCCTTAGTTTTTTCAAAGAGAGGCGATTGTAAATCTTTCTTAACGGGGTCTGTGTAGTTTTCCCGAATGTCGAATTTGCTTGTACATGGTTGAAACGTTGACGGTTGTCCTGTAGGTAAAATGTTGGTTATTTTGACATTTAATTCAAGAGGCACATGCTGCTTGTTAATGCAAGTTTCTCCTATCACTACCCAACCCAGTTTCAACTGTTGTGCATATGGAGTTCTGGGTGGTCCTATGCGCTGATCCAGGACGTGGTGCGCCTCTATAAGGTCTCTGCCAATTAAGAGAAGAATTTGGCAATTTTCCTCTATTGGTGGAATGCTACCTCTGAGTTCTTTTAAATGAGGGTGATGCATTGTGACCTCAGGAGTCGGTATTTCGTCCCTATTATTAAGAATATGATCACATTCTATCAGTACAGGCAGGTCAAATTTGTCATTGCCATTTATTGATTCCATGACGAAACCTCTTCCTCTTTTCCCGGAAGTGACTACTCTGCCGGAGCATGTTGATAAGGTATAGTTCTCCGGTTTGTCTTTTACGTCGAAAAGGTTGAAGAATTCAGGCGATACTAGTGACCGGTTGCTTTGGTCGTCAATGATGGCGTACATCCGGATAACTTTGTCCTGGTTATCTTTGTGATAAACATTCACAGGTAGTATTTTAGCACAAGATTTCCCGCTATATGTATCCTTGCAGATCTTAGTACAGGTAGAGTTCACTGAGGTTGACTTAGTTTCAGCGGATTATGTTGGCTCCCCGCCGTAGGCTTCCTTGGGCGAGCTAGACTGAGAACTTGCAGGTTGCTGTGGTCTAGTTATGTGAAGTGCGGTAGTGTGTTGTTTACTTCCACATTCTTTACAACTTATGCGTGCATTGCATTCCCGGCTCCTGTGTTTGGTAGAATCACAACACTTGTAACAGACATTGTTTTCTTTCAAAAGACCTTTGCGTTCCTCGATTGATTTGGCTCGGAACACTCGACATTCATTTAAGGAATGCTTTGTATTGTGCAGAATACAAAGACCGCTGTTTTATGAGTACCAACTTTAGTCTTGGGGTAAGACGTGAAACTTGGCGCAGCACCTTTTGTATTTGGTGTGACTTTTGACCCAAAGATGAATCCAGGATCGTTTTTAATTCTGCTGATTTCACTGATGAATGCAGATAACTCTGTAAAAGGAGGAAAGGCAACGCCGTGGTTAGATTTGTATCTAGACGCCCTTGTATTCCACTTTTCCTGAAGTCTATATGGTAGTTTTTCAATGACAGGGTTTATTCCGGACGGTGAATCAAAATAAGCTAGCAGACATCCCAGCTTGGGATTTTCCTTGTGATATTCTATTTCTGATAGAATGTCAGACAGTTCATAGAGACGTGCGTTGTCCTTATTCGTCAAGGTTGGGAATTTGGCAAGTTTACTCGTGAGTGAGGCCTCCAACATTTCTGGAGCACCATACCGCTCGTCAAGCCTCTTCCATAGTCTTTGTATACCTTTTGTAGGATTATTGGCGTTCGACGCTCTTATGCTAATGGCATGTTTAGCAGACTCTGTACCGAGCCACTTGATCAGTAAATCAATCTGTTCCGAGTCAGAGACTTGCAACTCGTCAGTCACGTTCTTAAAACTTGCTTTCAATGTATGAAAGGATTCTGCCCGATCGTTAAAGCTTGTTAGTTGGGAGAAAAGCAGGTCCTTACGCAAGAGAAATCTAGTTATCTCCGATGTAGGGTTGATTTGTTGCTGGTGTGCAACAGGGATCTCTTCTTTAACACCCTGTTTTTGGTGTTCAGCAGGGATCTCATCTGAAAGGCCTAGTTTTTGTATGCCGGTTACTATTCCAAGATCTGGGATTAAGGTAACTTCCGGTGACTTAGTATCGGAAGGCAAGACAGCAGATGTCTGTGACGGCAAGTTCAGTGCCACGGATGGCACGAACGCTGGTGCTTCATGACTCAGCTCAATCTTAACAGGAATTTGCTTTATCTTTTGAGGTCTTGTTACCTCCCGTACAGCAGTTGGTACAGGATGCTTATTGACGAAGTCTTCCACACGCTGGAGAGGGTCTTCCGTTTCATCAGGGAGATCGCTAAATGCTTGGCTGTCGTCGTATTCCAGGATACGAGCCTCTACTTCTGCGGCTGCAGCTTCTCTCTGTGCTTCAAGAAGGTTAAATTTGGCTTTCAGCTCGGCCTTTTCCCGGCTTACTCGTGCGGCTTCTTGTTGCATTTTAGCCTTCCTGCGCATGGCCTCTTGTTCTAATTGCACTTTTCTGTGAGCGGCCTCCTGTTCTAGTTGAACTTTACGTTGAGCGACGTCTTGCTCCATTTCTGCCTTTTTACGTGTGGCTTCCTGTTCCATTTCAGCCTTTTTGCGTGCTGCTTCCTGTTCCATTTCAATTTGTCTGAACAGGGCTTGTTCCTCTAACATTGCCTCGTGATGTAGGATAAGGGCATGTTTTTCGACAAAGGCTATTTTAGACTTGGCAGCCTCTGCCTTGGCACGCTTTCTCCGTGCTAGGCTTGACATGTCTGACACGTTAGAGCTACCGCTGTGTGAGGTTTTCTTATCCTTTGATGTCTTTGTTTTAGTGGATTTGGCCTTTGTTAGGGCGAGGCGATGCTCGTGTAGTTTTTCCATAACCAGTTCCACTTTGGACAGACGAAAATCCAATGAGAGATTACATGATTCTATTTCTTTTTGACTCTCCGATGTTCTGGTCCTTTTCAGAAAGTCCAGGAATTCATCTGTGAGCCTACGATAATTATTACAGGCTTTAACGAGTTTGTCCTGGGCTGTCAGGAGTTGCTGGAGCTCGTTAGGAGGCGTGGTGACTTCCAATAACTGGGATTCAATGTCTGTCCAGAGAGCCTCTTGTTCCTGACAGAACTTGTCACGTTTTTCTGTGAAAGCTCCTTTTCCTTTTTCCGTGAGGTCACGTACTCGCCTAGTTTCGGGATTTTCATCTGAATGTGTTGTATTAAACGGATTTTCTAATAGTTCAGGGACATCTCCCTCTTGGGGCTGAACCTCTTCTTGTGGTTCCACGTGACTGGGATCCATGGTGACTCAACGTTGTTGATTGCTGCCTAGTACACACAAGTTATGTAGTCCACTGTCAGTGTAAAGGTATTTACGTTGCTACGTAGTAGTTCCTTGTCTGTATATGTAAAGACAGGTTGTCGTCAATTTACTATGGTGAGCCTGACTCAATGTTTTCCCTATGTGTTCAGTACACAAAATTTATTTCCAAAATTTGGGGGATTGGCAAAACTGCTAGAAGTGCTAGACAGATTATTTTTTTTTTACCAAATCAGGGTCAGGATATTTTTTCTAAAAAACTCCCAGTCAGTTTTCACTCTATATGTCACCAATTAAAGGTATTTATAAACTCATATTATTTTGATCAGTGCAATGCATCCAGGGTATAACAATGACATATCCTATGATTAGATCACAAACGCCAATAGTTTCTGTCGGGAAGACTATTCTTTTGGGTGTCATATTGATTGGTGATATTTCGTCGGGTGACACGCTTCAAAAAGATTTAAGATCTTAATATCGCCTTACACCAAAACTATATATCTTCAAATTATGAACCAAAGTATATTTCGCGGGTATTTTCTAGTATATATATATATACATGTGTATATATATCAAGCTTTGACGATAAAGTTGTGAATATATTTTAAAAAACATTTTACTAGATTGAACATATTAAAAACCCATTACGAACTATTGAAAGCTTATCTGAATTCATGTTTTATAGATAAACGAAGATGTGGTAATAGTGCCAATTAGACAACTCTCCATCCAAGTCACGATTTGTAAAAAGTAAACCATTATAGGTCAAAGTACGGCCTTCAACATGGAGCCTTGGCTCACACAGAACAGCAAGCTATAAAGGGCCCCAAAAATTTCTAGTGTAAAACCGTTCTAACAGGAAAACACTATTTATTATTTGATTTGGTACTGCGTGATAACTTTTTAGAAATTGAATTCATGTAATTAGGATTTTCGAATCTCATAACCTAAAGAATAAATTAAGATCACAGTTTTCATTTAATAAATTTAATTTATCTTTTTTCATATATGCATGACTGTATTCTACTCATTCGTATTAATGTTTCTACTACGGGGATTTTTCAACGATTACCTATAAGGGTCTAGCACATGTAATTAAGGACACACGATGATAATTTTGGAACTTAAATGAAGAATCTTGTATCAGCGAACAAATCATTTATTAAGAGAATATAACCCAATTCAATGCCTTTATTGTGCTAAAGACTTCAGAGCTTTATCATGTTAAAGATAAGTTGGAGTACTTTTAAATGTCAGTAAAACCGATAGTCAATTAATTAAGACACACTTACATAACCTTGTAAAAGTATAATGATTACTTGTTAAAATGTCTGTACAATATATGAGTTGTACAAAATTACACCTATACAAACCATTTCCGCATTTTGCTTTTGTACAATTATTTTCGTTTTTCGCTGGCGAGTGGCTGCTAGCTTGAGCCTAGATATATTCATTTTTAAATTGGTGAAGCATTGATATATATTAATACCCACAATGCATAAGTTTCGAAACTACGAATTTTTAAAAGGAATAACTCTCAATATAAGACATCACCGTTCCTATGATAATAAAAAAAACGAAAAACGAAAATAATTGTACAAAAGCAAAATGCGGAAATGGTTTGTATGGGTGTAATTTTGTACAACTCATATATTGTACAGACATTTGTTATTTGTCATAACTTTACATTTTGTTATTTTATGAACTCAGTGTTGATGGCAGATCTTTGATTGTTTCTGTTGAAAGATAACAAAAGGTACATAAAGACCACAGATTATTACAAGACAAACAACATATTACACCACAGCGTTCTGGAATATCTACTATACATACACTATATCTGAATTAATGTCATACATTTTATTTGATTGATGACCAAGTCATTTTGACTATCCGACAAGGGCTATCTTTTTAACGGGCATAAGTTATAAAAAATTTAAATTAAGCTGCCATTTTTTTTTTAGATATGTTACTTGCCACATCTCAGTTGAACAACAGAAAGATAATACCACACATCAAATGGTGAAATCAGAATCGTACACAAATTGCGGCCATAAAAATATTGCATTCTCGGAAATTAAGAACGGCGAAGTATATAACGTGCCATCATCTACGATCAGCCTGGAACAGGTTCATTACGAACAGATAACGAAACAATCACAAAAAGTGATATACCACATGTTTCATCAGCTGTTTACTTCACCCTTGATCCGATAGAAATTGTATACGATAGAAGCCATCGGACCACAGCTACTGCAAATAGTTATGATTTAGCATCGCCAATATGTGATGAAGTCATAGATGATCCGTATATTGAAACTGTGGATGACATTTACGATCATGCGCATCGCAACAGACATAAGAGTATCACTTCTGACGATGTGTACGACCATTCAGTTGATGACACATATGACGTAGCTGATCACATCGGTAAAAGAGAAAATGATCAAACAATTCCTTATATAGTAGAGCATGCATATGAAAACTTATGATCAAAAATTAAGAGTGGATTATGTCTTTGAAAAATTCACATTTCAGAACCTCTAGCCTTTATAAGTCTTGTGGTTTTTTTTTTTATATGTTGGTTCATTGACCCCAAAAAAAATGTTTCGGAGTTCAGTGTTGCGTTCATGTCGCTGAACTAGTATGCATTATTGTTTAAGACCAAGCTGAAGCCCGCCTCCGGATGCAGGATTTTATCGCTGCGTTGAAGACCCATTGGTGGTCTTGAGCTGTTTTCTGCTATTTGGTCGGGTTGTTTTCTCTTTAATGAATTCCCCGTTTTCATTCTCAATTCTAATTAATTTGATCGGAACATTGAAATGTTAATTACACTTATGATCGCCCGGATCGCAACAAACAAAAAGTATCACTTCAATCTGACGTGTGTACAGCCATTCAGATTTTTGTCATAACTTTTAATATATATAAAAATAACAAGACGCGGTATGATTGCCATTGGGATAACTCTTCACCAGAGACCAATTGACGTAGAAGGTTAAGAAGTATAGGTCACCGTACGACCTTCAACAATGAGCAAAACTCATTCCACATAGCAAGATATAAAAGGCCCCAAAATAACAAACGTAAAACAATTCATACGATAAAACTAACGGCCTCATTTGTGTAGAAAAAAAATAAACGAAAAACAAATATGATAAACAGCAACAAAAGACAATCACTGAAGTATATGCTCCTGACTTGGGACTGAAACTTATAGAATGTGGCGGGGCTAAACGTGTCTACGGGCGCGCCAACACTCCCATAATCTGGGACAGATGGGTAACAGCACATTGTAAGAAAAACTATAAAAATCAGTTGAAAAGGGCTTGGACATACCGTTTTTCTCCAATACCGACGTGCTACATTATGCTTCTTTGTGTTCTTATTGTGTAGACACTAAAAGGAAACTAACACATCTAACTAGTTATATTTACGTCATGTTGGTACTGGTGGATAGTAAGGCAGTTACTTAGTCATTGTTGCAGCACGTATGTTAACCCCTAGAAGTATTTTGCATTCGTGTCTTTAAAAGGAATTCAACGAGTATGAGTTGATATGTAAAAGATTAGTGGCTCTGGACTCGTCTTTTTGTCATACCCCTATCCAAATGCATTAGTATAATTTTCGGTATTAAAAGTTTTCCCTTGTTGCAGCCAAGTGTCTCTAATAAAGATGCGTGTAATGATTTAAGTTTGCAAATCAAGGTTTTAAGACTGGGAAAATTGGAAATAGTTTACTACTTGATATTGTGAACTAAACGGTCAAAGTTCTGAGAGAACTGCTCAACAAAGTGTATGTAATAGTTATATTCTTCGGAGGCCGGTATGTGCCATGGGGAATTGTTTTTTTTTTAATTTTAACTCGTTATAACGACTTAGCTAACTCGTTATAACGACTAAGCTAACTCGATATGACGACTTAGCTAACTCGTTATAACGACTTACTAACTCGTTATAAAAACTATGCTAACTCGTTATAACGACTTATGTTCGTTACAACAACTTAGCCAGCTCGTTATAACGACTTAGTAATTCCTTTTAACGACTGAGCTTTAAGTTTTATAACGACTTAGTTATGGCACGTACCGGCTTCCGTACAAGTCAGACATAATCTTTTTAAAACTAACGGATTTATTTTTTATTTAAGTATTTTGTTCAAAAGGAAACGAGTCCTAGCTAACTGTAGGTAGGAAACACATGAAAAAAGCTTGATGTGTTTAGCTTAGTGTGACAATATAATGTAAAGTGCATCATACATTTGAATTAATTTAAAAGTTTACCAGTTAATTATGTGGTTACGGAATCAAACGGTATATGGTTCTCTCATAATTATATAAAATAAGGAGATGTGGTATGATTGCAAATGAGACAACTATCCAATTCAATGTAAGTAAAAATAACGTGGATTTCAGCAACTATATATCAACGTACGGTCTTCAACAATGATCAAAACATATGCAGTATTATAGTCATTTATAAAAGGCCCTAACAAGGCAAACTGTGAAGAAGCAATTCAAAATTGAAAAAAATACCAACAGCCTGACTTATGACAAAATAATTAACTTAAAGTAAATATTACCCGCAAGGTTTTCATTCAGAGGGAAAAAAGTTTGTCCTACTTAACTTGAAAGTTTAGGATTTACTTAAATGTCTGAACAGACATGAATTTACTGCAATGATAATATCTGAAAAATATATTCAAACTATTTCAAAGTATGAAAATTTTATGTAAAAACATTTCAGAAAAAGTTTAATTAGATAAAAATGACAGATAATGTTACTGAACAAATATGAATTACTAGACTAAGTATGCATTATTGTTTTTAAGTAAATTTGTAGGAATTTGTAGGGCTTAAGTAGTGTGAGACAAATTTCCGTTTTAGCATGTTTGGGTTTTGTTTCTTCAGTTGTATATAAACTCATCATATTAGGATTAAAGTTTTGTATGCCAGACGTGCGTTTCGTCTACACAAGACT